GAGAGGCTAAGTGACTTGCAGAGGGTCTCACAGAAAGCCTGTGGCAGAGCCAAAGCTGGAACCCAGGTCTCTCAAGCACTAAGTTAGTACCTTAAATATTGAGTAATCCTTCTTCTCTCTCAAAGGCGCCTTCCAAAGTTAGGCACCCAACTCAAGCGGATTTGGGTGCCTCCTTCCCTGGGCCTTCGGGGAAAATCCCAGCCTCCTTTATTAAGCACACTCAAGTCTGATATGTATTTGAACTGAACATGTAAATTGTGACTGGGGTACTGAGGCAAATAGCCCAAGAATTTCCACAGAGAACTTGGCAATGCCAGGAACAGAAGCCAACAGCGTGGATGCCCAGTGCCCTGTTCTCAATACTTCCCACCAAATTTAGTCAACACGCTCCTGGCAGAGTGCTCTGGGGAAGATAAGAACTGGCCCAGACTTTCTGCCATTCCTTCTACCTCATCCCTTCTTCTAGAGCAGGGGTCTCCAATCTTTTTCAGCACAAGATCACTTTTTGAATTTAAGTGCAATCCCGCATCTACCTCAAACCCAAATACCCTTGCTCCGCCTCCTCCGTGCCCCTTCTCCGAGGCCCCACCCCTGCTCCCTCCGTCTTCCCTCCTTCTCTCCCCCATTCTTCCTCCCTTTCACCAGGCAGGGGCAGAGGGTTGGGGTGCAGGCTCTGGTCTTGGGCTAAGGGATTTGGAGTGTGAGAGGGGCTCTGAGCTGAGCCTGGGGCAGGGAGTTGGGGTGCTAGAGTGGGTTCAGGGGAGTTTGGGTCCAGGGAGCTCAGGGATTGAGGAGTTGCGGTGGGGGGAGGGGGTTCACGACTGGGGCAGGGTTTTGGAGCTGGCTCCCGCTGGACACTGCTTACCTAGGGTGGCTCCTGGGTGGTTGTGCAGGTGGCTAAGGCAGGCTCACCCCGCCCTGGCCCTGCACTATTCTCAAAAGCAGACAGCAAACTCCCTCCATTGCAAGCCCTGTTGTGCCCCCTCCCATTCTGTGGAGATAGACTACAGGGTGGGAGGGGGCACCCTGACATCAACCCCTTCCCTGTACCGCAAGCAGGAGGTTCCCGTGGGGGGCAAAGCTCCAAGCCAAACGGCAGAAGATACGCAGCACTGGGGGACGGGCAGCTGGAGTGCTGGCACTTGACAGCCTCTTGGCCAACCAGTCAGGGTCCTCTGCTAGAGGCTCCAAGATCTACCAGCAGATCCCTCACGACTGGTTGGTGACCACTGGTCTATAGCATTGGACTGTGCGGTTCTGTGCTCCGGGATGTCTCCTCGAGGGATATGCACAGCCCGCCCAGGAAACACACTGAGCCTAAATTCTTGAAGCAGAGCAGGATCCCCTTTGAAGTTCTCTTCTGGCAGAGCAGGAAAAGATCATGGCGTGATGCCACCCCCGCCATGGAGCAAACCTGCTGGACGTACACTCCAAGACAGGGCTGGGCTGTAGAGTTTCTCTTCTGAGAATACCTGCCAGCCTAGGAAGGACTTTCCCACTTCCAATGTAGGGTCCTCCCAGGCCAAAGTGCCACGTGTGAGGAGAAGGAGTTGTAGCAGCAAGAGAGAAGGTCCTGAGACCGGGCCCTCAGGAGATCCAGCTAAACATCCACACATTCTTACGCTGATTCTCCCCAGTTTGAGGGTCACTCCTCGCCATTCTAAACAGAGAATCTCAAAACGTGGGGATTAACAAGCCTGTCTCCCTCGTCCTTTTTCTGGTGAGAGAAACCCCGGCATAACTCCATGTCTAGGTCTCTGTGGTTGGCTCTGTATTGCAAAGCAATTACAGACAAGTCTGTTACATGAGACCATGAGCTACAAACAATTTCTGTATTGCTCCTTGATGAGAAAGCTTAGGTTGGTGTTACCTCCATCAGGAAAAGGGCCTTGTTTCTGATCACCTCGCTTCGCGCCTGCAGACTTGGCTGCTCTTGTGTCTGATGTCGTCATCGGTTGTTCGTGGGGCACTCCTCCAGTTTCCCTCTTGCCCCCTGCCCCCTAATCTCTCATTTTGGCTCAATGCGATGGCATTATGCAAATTGGGAGGATGTGAATGCCACGCAGCAGCTGCTCTGTCATTCACAAGGAGCACTCACTCATATCACAGGGCCAGAAACATAACGTGTGGAGTGGTGAGTGAGGGAGAAAACCAAGATCGAGGGAATACAACTGTGGTCAATGAAAGGAGCCAGAATATGACAAACTAAAACAGATTTCTGCTGGGAACTGAAGACGCCAACTTCTAGAATCTTCTCTGGGGTGTAGGATTCTAGCTCAACTCTTTCAAATGTGTGAAGAATGGCTCCTGAACGGATAGCCATACCGGGACTGTGACGGGGCGCCGGTTCCTGCCGCCGCGGAACCGAGGATGCCCCGCACTCCAGAGGCCCTGAGGGGCAAAAGGGACGCCAGCGGGACTGCCGCAGCACGGGACACAGCGCTCGCCGCAGCGCGGGACGGTGTAGGATTCTAGCTCAACTCTTTCAAATGTGTGAAGAATGGCTCCTGAACGGATAGCCATACCGGGACTGTGACGGGGCGCCGGTTCCTGCCGCCGCGGAACCGAGGATGCCCCGCACTCCAGAGGCCCTGAGGGGCAAAAGGGACGCCAGCGGGACTGCCGCAGCACGGGACACAGCGCTCGCCGCAGCGCGGGACGTGGCGCTCGCCGCCCCCAGGAGCGGGGGAGGCTGGCACTCCCGATTGGGATCCTGGGTC